GCAAAGCCGCGACCAGCTCCACCGCTGCCTCCGCCGCCTCCACCACCTCCGCCGCCTCCGCCACCTCCGCCGCCTCCGCTCCCTCCGCCACCGCCGCCGCCTCCTCCGCCTCCACTGCTGCTGCCGACACCTCCACCCCCGCCACCACTCCCACCACCACCCCCACCCCCTCCACTGCCTCCACCACCACCTCCACCGCCCCCGCCAGCCCCTCCAGCGCCCTTGCCCCCCTTGCCCTTGCCGGTGCGGCGTCTCCCGCTAGGGGCAGACGCAGCGCCGACCGACTCGAAACCACCGAGGTCGGCCGCAGCAGCAGAAGCAACAGAGGGCAAGAGGGGGGAGGGGGAACACCCCTCAAAGACGGGGGTGCGAGGGTCACCACGAGAGGCTCCTACAGCGACTATGCTCTTCTCTGCTGCTAGGAGGCGCTCCTCGAGGAGGTCAACGGTGAGTGTGGTGGGGCAAACTGAGAGGAAGTGGTCCCTGACTAAGCGAAGGGAGTCAGGTCGCCGGGTGACTATGTAGTAGAGGGTGATGTACATGGGGGGGGGGTGCTTGGCACAGAACTCAGCAGGAAGCGCAGCGCGGTAGCGAGTGTCACTAGTGCAAAGGTGCGTAATGAGGTCAGCGACTGTGGGAAAGGCAGCAAGGTCAGGGAACAGGTACGGCAGCAGGAGGCGGCTAAGCGCAGCAGTGGCAGGGGAGGAGTAGCGTGCAACTACAGCGTCGTACAAGGTCTGAGCACTCTTGTACTGGCTAAAGTGCGCATGCTCAGTGGTCGGTAAGTGTCGACGCACAGCAAGACGGGCAGCAGCATCGCGTGTGGCCCACTGTGAGCGAACAGTGCTGTCAGCAGCAGCAGGCGGGGCAGGAGAGGCACCAGAGGTGAGATCGAACAGGGAGAGCCCGTCAGCCCTATCGCACTGGAGGAACAGCTGGAGGTCATCTACCCAGACCTCAAAGTCAACAGCACGACCCTCAGCATCAAAGGTAAGGACACTGGGGGTAGCCATGACTGCAGTGGCCTAGCAGGGAGGGATCTCACCAGTCCGAGTAAGTAGGGCCGGGGCGCGCCGGTAGGAACAGTAGCAGCTCAGCGGCAGGGCGGCTCGGCGGCTAGGCTGCTGGGCGGCTCGGCTGCTGGGCGGCTCGGCAGCTCGGCTCGGCTGCTGGGCGGCTCGGCGGCTCGGCGACTCGGCTGCTGGGCGGCTCGGTGGCTCGGCTGTTGGGCGGCTCGGCTGCTGGGCGGCTCGGCAGCTCGGTTGCTGGGCGGCTCAGCGGCTCGGCGGCTCGGCTGCTCGGCGGCTCGGCTGCTGGGTGGTTCGGCTGCTCAGCTGCTGGGTGGCTCAGCGGTGAAGGGGCCGGTAGAGGCGACGATGGGGCCGCGAGGGGCGGCCACGGGGCCGCTAAGGGCGACGAGGTGGCCGCGAAGGGCGGCGACGGGGCCTCCAGGGGCGACGACGGGGCCACTGGGGGCGGCGACGGGGCCGCAGAGGGGCCGCAAGGGGCCTAGAGGGGCGGCGACGAGGCCGCGAAGGGGCCGTAAGGGGCCTAGAGGGGGCGGCGACGGGGCCGGAAGTGGCGGCGACGGGGCCGCGAAGGGGCCGCGAGGGGCCTAGAGGGGCGGCGACGGGGCCGCTAGGAGCGGCGACGGGGCCGTGAAGGGGCCGCGAGGGGCCTATAGGGGCGGCGACGGGGCCTAGAGCGGCGGCGACGAGGCCGTGAAGGGGCCGCGAGGGGCCTAGAGCGGCGGCGACGGGGCCTAGAGCGGCGGCGACGGGGCCGTGAAGGGGCCGCGAGGGGCCTAGAGGGGCGGCGACGGGGTCGCTAAGGACGGCGACGGGGCCGCTAAGGGTGGCGCGAGGGGCCTCTAGGAGGGCGCGACGTGAGGGCGGCCTACGGGGCACGCCTCGGGCAGAAAAAAAAAGATCGAGTTAGGTGGTGGGCCCTGAGAAGCGTTCCCACGAGGGAACCTGCTCTATACCATGTTAAGAATGAGGAATGGATGAATTAGGAAACAGGTGGGTACAAGTAGGAAAACCTAGAATTGTTGTACCCCATATTGTCTACCCTACTACAGCCTACAAAGACTATAGCATATAAGTTTGACAAACCCGACCTGCCTTCTGGGTGAGATGTACAAATGTTCCGGGTTAGAGGCATTCGCTAAAAGAGTCTCTTTTCCCCCTTGAGTAGAGTTTTCCGATATCGCCTAGGATTGGCCCGACCCATATAGTCCCTTTTTTGGTGGGAATTTTTGCAGCTTGACCGAATCATTGCACGAATCAGCTCCGCAGCCAATCAGAGGCTCCAGATCGAACCAACCCAATATTCAGGGAAAACGATAAATAAGGGATCATCGATTCGATATTTAACTTTGGAATTGTAAGTAATTGTTTCTCTTGACCGTGATTAATTTTCAATACTTTCGCGCGCTTGACGATGACATCTCATTTATCTCGCTTTCAGGGTAAAATTGAAGTTTTTACCTTCTATTCGACCCCCAAACCATAATTGATTTTGTTTTGTTTTGCCCGTTAGTCATGCGGACATTGATCAGCGCGGGGAACCGTGCAACGAGAAGTTGAAGCAAGCGTGGTCCAAATCTACGTAAAAGAAGAAATCCAAAACTAGTAGCAAACAAACCACTCTTCATGCAATTTTCTTGAACGGGACCATTAGTATCGCGTTTTGCACGGGGTTTGAAGGGTGTCACACATAGTCCGCGCGCGGCGTCTCATTCCGTTGGACTATAAACAAGAACAGCTGTAGCAAGAGTAGCTGGTTGGTTGCGCGAGAACGCCATCACGACAAATCGTGTGGAACTGCCTACTTTGTGGCAAGCTGGACAAACAAACACTGTACCAAAGAATGGAGCAACACACAGCCTTTTTTTTGGGCTGGTTCCACTGTATCTGCTTGATCAATCAGACACCCAAATGCTAGAGGCAACACTCGTGATGTTTTCATGTTGTCACGGACCTTCCACTCGTGATCGCAGGGGGTGACACCGTGTCAGTGCTTTGACCCGCGGACCGAAACCCGCGGACCAAAACCCGCGGAATGCAGCCCGCGCACCGAAACCCGCGGACTGCAACTAACCTTTTCATTCGGTTGTCCACGCTGTACATCTTGCGCCAACCAAGCACCAACGCGTGGAACACTTGAAGGCCACACCAATCACAATGATGATAAGGAGATTGTGATGAAATTTGCTGATGGTGAAGTCCTCCATGTCCCTCCCCCTTGTGTAACGAAATTGTGTTTCTGCGGAGCCAACTTGGCGTACCTTGCAAATCACAAAGGAACCCGTGCACAACACACTTTGGGGAGAGCATTTCAGATTCATGCAATGCAATTATCACCTCACACAATTTTCCAGTTTCCACTTGATTTTGGAGGTTCCATTGGTACCAATTGCAAGTTTGGTGAAAAGGTTTACGGTTGTTGGCTAAGCGTCGTAAAAAAACAGGTATGAAGGGTGGGACATTATCGAATTTCAATAACAGCCACCTGAAGAGTCATAGCTCGAGCAAGGGCGAAATGCACAGACTTCATACCTCGTTACCTTTGGCTAGCCAATCAGCCACGGTATATTCCCCCAATTTCCACCTGGAAGCACGTGCCAAAGGAATGCGCAGCCGCCAATTCATCAGTCTAGCCGAGTGGACACTGGGAGGATTCCTCACCAGCAGTGACTTGCCCTACGGTTGTGAGGGAAAACCTTGGTGCATTTCCCTTTTCCCGCTCTGCGGGTACGTGGTGGCGATGACCCACCAAGTTTTTTCCGGACCAAGTCGGACTGAATCGGGCCCACCTAGCGTTTTTTTTTTCCCGGACTGCCTGGAAGCGGGAATCTCAACGACGTTGGATGATCCAAGTGTTTTTCTGTGACGATTGAAGGGCCGTTAACCATTTTGGTGAAAGTTGGACCGTCCCTAGAGTTTTAGTGGCTGACTGTCTTCCGCTTCGCTTTTCAAGTTAAACTGATTTTGAAAAGCCTTACTTCGTCTCCGAGAGCAGTCTGGTGCCACGCTCTTACTAAGTCTGGCAGTCTGGTGCCACGCTCCGATAGTATCAGCAGCAAACATAATTTCCTGGCTAGTTTTGAGCTTTGGTTCGCGCCTCGCCCTCCGAAGTTTGTGGAGACAGCGTAATTGTACTGTTAGGCGGCTCAGCATTCCTTTGGGCCCGTCAACCCTAAACCACTTTCTACAATATAATTTTCAGTATTCATGTGAGCCCGTCCGACTCAGATAACAACCTCCTGTTTGCGCGCGCTTCTCCATTTGAGATTGGATTGGAGTCAAATTTTTGGATGGTCCTCTGAAACAGCTCCAGCCTCCGAGGCTGTTACAAACCGCATGTATCACCTCTGAGCGACTTTGGGGATGTGGGTTTATTCGGGATAGGTGCACCTTTCAACCCACCCACCCCCACCCCTCCTCCTCCCCTCCTCCCTCCACCCAGGCGGCAAAATATTGTTCTCTAGGATGGTACTATCGCAAAGACAAAGTCTGAGCCGATCACATATCTGCCAGATTGCCACTAAGCAGTGCTTTAGAGGCCACTTCTGGGCCACATTGCCCCATCTTTAAGGTAATTTTCCGAAATTAAAAAGGGACAACCCAGACAATCCGTCTGAGTCATACAATTCTGGGAAATCTTTCCAGACTTGAAATTCACAAGAGCCGCTTTTGTAGCGACTTCGGGGGGACGGATCCAGTGCAGCTGCTTCTGGTGTGGTAGTAGCAGTGGTTTTGTAGTGCCACAAGCAGATGGAAAAGAGACAGGGTGGGAAAGCCGAGGTTGAATTACGATGGCAACAACAGACAATGACGCGAAATCAGCCTGCTCGGAGGCAGATCACGCAACCAGAGCAGCCGATGCAGCAGCAGCAGATGCAGCCGCAGCAGATGGCACGGCATTTTGTACCACAGCCAATCTATACAACACAACCGCAAAAGCTACAGCCACAGCTACAGGCTAAGCCAGTGTTTATGGAGATACAGCCGCTGCTACAGACACATCTACTGCAACGTGAGACTGCTGCTGGTGCAAGACCATCGGCTTCTGGAGCCAAGCGCACGACATTGACGCGCAACCGAAACTACAACCAGGAAGGGAAGTATCGGGGAGTGAGGAAGCGAGGGGAGTTCAAGTACGTTGCAGAGATTAAAGACACCACTATTGGAGTCCGCAGGTGGCTGGGCACGTTTACCAGTGCAGAGGAGGCTGCTCGGGCGTTTGATGAAGCTTCTTTTGGCCTCCGAGGATCAAATGCAAAGCTTAACTTTCCAAAAGAGTATATCACGGAAAGGGGAGGAGTACTGAGTTCTGCCAATCCTCCAGAGTTAGGAGCAGCTACGACGCAAACGGCAGGAAGGGAGGCAGGTAATATTGCTAAGAGTAATGGCCTGGGAGTTCCAAGGAATAAGGAGTCTTTACCAGGAAAGGTGGAGACGGGCTGCTCTACGAGCTCTGGCGCTCTGGGAGCTCTGAAAGGGAAGGACGAGAAATATGCTGTAGATGCTGTGGAAGGGCGATTTGTGGGAGTAGACGTGAGCCAGCTAAAGTCGTTTGGAGAGGGAACAAGTAGGGCGGTGGGTGCGGTGGCAGCAGAAGCAGGCGGAGGGTCAGGGGCTGTACTAGGGTCAGCGTTACTAGTTGAAGTTGCAGGCGAGGGAGAAGGAGGAGGAGGAGGAGGAGGAGGAGGAGGAGGAGGAGGAGGAGGAGGAGGAGGAGGAGGAGGAGGAGGAGGAGGAGGAAGGGGGGTAGGAGGGGTGTGCATAGCAGCAGAAGCGTCAGCAGTCAGTGATCGGAATGGACCAGCTTATTCTCCTGATTGCGGCTCCACTGTCAGCAGCAGCAGCTCCGACAGAACTGCCCCTTTCGCCTCTGCCCCTTCTCCCTCTGTCCCCTTCTCCTCTGCCCCTTTCTCCTCTGCCCCGTCTGCTTCTGTCGCTTTCCCACACTCCACCCTTCCTGCCACCTCTGCTCCTTCCACCTGCACCGATGTGCTACACTCCACCCTTCCTCCGTCCACCGCCCCTTCCACCTCTGCCTCTTTCCTATACTCCACCCTTCCTGTTACATCTACCTCTTCCACCTCCAGCGATGTGCTACATTCCAGCCTTCCTCCTTCTACTGCCCCTTCCATCTCTACTTCTTTCCTACACTCCACCTTTCCTGTTGCCTCTGCCCCTTCCACCTCCACCGATGTGCTACACTCCACCCGTCCTGCCACCTGGGATTACAATGTCGCAGTATCTGGGAAATTGATGATGCAAGGAGGGGATGCATCAGTGCAAGGAGCAGAGGAGATGGTGGAGGTACCCTACATGACAACGGCGGGCCCAGCTTCAAACATGCTCACAAGCTGGCATGCTGAAATGATGCAGCATGCGCCTGCCATGGTGCCCCCGTTTGAGTCGCTCTGGAGGCATGACCATGGCATGCAGTATGGGTTTACCATGTCCCGCATGTCATCTATATGTGTCAGACCGCCGCGTCAGCGTCACCAGACACAACGGCTGCAGCAGCGACAGTGGCGGCGGCGGCGGCAGCAGCAGCAGCAGCAGCAGCAGCAGCAGCAGCAGCAGCAGCAGCAGCAGCAGCAGAAGCAGCAGCAGCAGAAGCAGCAGCAGCAGCAGCAGCAGCAGCAGCAGCAGCAGCAGCAGCAGCAGCAGCAGCAGCAGCAGCAGCAGCAGCAGCAGCAGCAGCAGCGACAACAGGGGCCGCAGCAGGGTCAGCAGCAGCAGCACCATGCGTCAAGCTTCTGGCAACAAAATTATCTGGATTTGACATCTGGCAGGAGGGGTAAGGCAGCTGCATGTAGCCCTTCTGCAGACCCCACGAGTTCACCTTCTCCCATGGAGGAGTGGAGGGAGCAGCAGGCGATTAAAAGCCACACCCCAGACTTGCTAAACAACCACACAGCTAACAATATTTCCAGGCCTTCACTCTCCGATTCTCTACTCACCGCCCATCACAAGCCGCATTCCGAACCTGCACCTCTGATGTTTCGAAGCCATAGCGTCTCTTCCCCGTTGGAGCTGCGGGTTTCCAGTTCTTCAACCCCTGAGTCCCAGTCGTCTGTGGGAAACACTGGTGGTGTAGGTGATTTGAGTGCTGCAAGTAATGCTGGTGCTACTTGTGGTATGGGTGTTGTGGGTGCCAAGGGTGATGGAGATCGCGTGGTTAGCAGTGTGGATGTTGCTTCCAGTGTCGCCGGTGGTGCCAGCGTTGCTGGTGCTGCAGGTAAGGCCGGTTTTGCCAGTGTTGCTGGTGCTGACCGTCAGGACCAGCAGCAGCAGCAGCAGCAGCAGCAGCAGCAGCAGCAGCAGCAGCAGCAGCAGCAGCAGCAGCAGCAGCAGCAGCAGCAGCAGCAGCAGAAGCAGAAGTGGCAGCGGCAGCAGCAGCAGCAGCCGCAGGGGCGGCAGCAGCAGCAGCAGCAGCAGCAGCAGCAGCAGCAGCAGCAGAATTGGCAGCGGCAGCAGCAGCAGCAGCAGCAGCAGCAGAATTGGCAGCGGCAGCAGCAGCAGCAGCCGCAGGGGCGGCGGCAGCAGCAGCAGCAGCAGCAGCAGCAGCAGCAGCAGCAGCAGCAGCAGCAGCAGCAGCAGCAGCAGCAGCAGCAGCAGCAGCAGCAGCAGCAGCAGCAGCAGCAGCAGCAGAAGCAGCAGCAGCAGCAGCAGCAGCAGCAGCAGCAGCAGCAGCAGCAGCAGCAGCAGCAGCAGCAGCAGCAGCAGCAGCAGCAGCAGCAGAATTGGCAGCGGCAGCAGCAGCAGCAGCCGCAGGGGCGGCAGCAGCAGCAGCAGCAGCAGCAGCAGCAGCAGCAGCAGCAGCAGCAGCAGCAGCAGCAGCAGCAGCAGCAGCAGCAGCAGCAGCAGCAACAGCAGCAGCAGCAGCAGCAGCAGCAGCAGCAGCAGCAGAATTGGCAGCGGCAGCAGCAGCAGCAGCCGCAGGGGCGGCAGCAGCAGCAGCAGCAGCAGCAGCAGCAGCAGCAGCAGCAGCAGCAGCAGCAGCAGCAGCAGCAGCAGCAGCAGCAGCAGCAGCAGCAGCAGCAGCAGCAGCAGCAGCAGCAGCAGCAGCAGCAGCAGCAGCAGCAGCAGCAGCAGCAGCAGCAGCAGCAGCAGCAGCAGCAGCAGCAGCAGCAGCAGCAGCAGCAACAGCAGCAGCAGCAGCAGCAGCAGCAGCAGCAGCAGCAGTGCCATGCATCCTGCGTCTTGCAAAGAGGCTCTTTTTATCTGATGTCTGGAAAGAGGAGCAAGGCAGCTGCATGGAGCCCTTCTTCAGACCTTACATGTGCACCGTTCCCCATGACGGAGTGGAGGGAGCCGCAGACATTTGGGAGCCGCATCTCAGACTCGGAAATCAACCACACAGCCAACAAGATTTCCAACCCTTCACTGTCAGAATCTTTACTCAAGCCCCATTATAAGCCTTATTCGGAACCTGCACCTCTGATGTTTCGAAGCCACAGCGTATCTTCCCCCTTGGATCTGCGGGTTTCCAGTTCTTCAACCCCTGAGTTCCTGCGCCCTGTGGGAAACACTGGTGGTGTGGGTGACGTGTGCGTTGCAAGTGGTGCTTTTGCTGCTTGTGGTGTCGGTGCTGTGGGTGGTATGTGTGTTGCTTACAGTGTTGCCGGTGCTGCCCGTGTTGCTGCTACAGCTAATAATACGGGTGCTGCCAGTGGAGCAGGTGTCGCCAGTGTTGTCGGTGCTGCCAGTGCAACAGGTGTCGCCAGTGTTGCTGGTGATGCCAGCGATGCAGGTGTTGCCTGTGATGCTGGTGTGGCCAGCGTTGCAGGTGCTGCCTGTGATTCTAGTGTTTCCAGCGATGCTGCTGTTGGCGGTGCTGATGTTGTCGGCGGTGATCAGCAGAAGCAGCAGCAGCAGTCACATGCCCTGCAGCAGTCACATGCCCTGCAGCAGAATGAGTTGCAATTAGTGCAGCAGCAAGAGCAATGCCACCACCGCCACCAGCATCTTATGCAGCGGCAGCAGCAAGTGCCCCTTGCGAACTTCCATCCAGCCTGCCCACCCCTCAAACAGTCTCTTACCCCCACAATTCCTTCTGCTCCGAACTCCACCCTCACAGCTGCTACCAGTATTGCTGCTAACGTTTACGGAGGCAGTTGTGTTGCTGCCAGCGCTGCTGCTGGCGCAGCTGCACCCATTGCTAGTTGCGCTGCTGCAGGAGTTCCGATCATTCCTCCTCCCGCCTCTCCACCCACCATCTTTGATTGTACTACCAGCTTGCATGGATTCTATAGCACAGAGCAGGGCTGTATTGAAGCCGTGGAGCATGCTGTCTTTGAGAAAACTATCTGCATGGAGATTGGAGGTGCGGACAGCAGTGGTGGAGCAGTTCTCATGCACAACTGTACAGCAGCAGGCTTTGAAGTGCCGTACAGTGTTGTTGCTGCAGAGCATCCCAGTGGGGAGCAGACTGGCCTGGACCAGCCTAGTACGAATCAGCCTAGTGCCGAACAACCTAGTGTGGACCAGCCTTGTGTGGACCAGCCTAGTGTGGACCAGCCTAGAGTGGACCAGCCTAGTGTGGACCAGCCTAGTGTGGACCAGCCTAGTGTGGACCAGCCTAGTGTGGGCCAGCCTAGTGTGCACCAGCCTAGTGTGGGCCAGCCTAGTGTGGGTCAGCCTAGTGTGGGCCAGCCTAGTGTGGGCCAGCCTAGTGTGGGCCAGCCCGGTGGGGAACAGGATTGCAAACACCATGCGTGCGCAGCCCAGCCTATTCTGGAACTGCTCTGTGCTGAGAAGCTGTTTGCTGCTCAGCCTACTTCTGGCGAACTGTGTTCTGCCCAGCAGCATATCATGGCAGATTTGGACCTTCCTCTTCCTCACTCCTCAGTGGATCTGCTGCTTCTTGAGGATGAGCAGCACTCTGCATTTGCTGCCATGGATCTCACAACCCCATTTTCTCACATCGAGCAAACAGGTTGTTGCGCCTTTGAGAATTCTGTGTGCTCTGTCCCTTTTATAGGAGCAACAGGTGTAGGATTGGATGTTGGGGGGGAGGCTATGGATGTGGGAGGGATGGGATATGCAGAAGATCTTCAGCATCTGACTGTGAGTGCCACTGATGCTGGAATCCGCACCATTGATCCGCTAGAAATGTTCTTGATGGATGATGGGGAATAAGCATAGTGGTGATAAAGACATCATGTTTTTGGATAGGATTTTTATTTCATTTTATCCACACACACACACACACACACACAAAAGTGTTGTGTGATGCAATCATATGCATTCACGTCTGTCTGCCTCCCATCATGTGTCCGTGCGTTGCATGCGTGGTGTGAGCGTATGCAAGAATTTGTGTTTTGTGCGGTTTGGTTTTTCTGAGTGTGTATGAATGTTATTTGGCTTGAGCAGATATCTGAAGTGACTCCTCTGCTCAAGAGCTTTCCGACAAACCAAGTATCGCTTCAATCGGAGCACGAACAAGAAAGTTACGAACGTTGGAAGTTCGTATGCTTTTGATATTTGGTTGTGGTGACTATGGGAAGTTGTGGTGTTGACTCCATAAGGAGTACAGACTCTTAGGGGTTGGGAAATTCGTCAACATCACTGTAGATGCTGCCAAGTGGTTGGGAGGTACCAAACCAGGTTGGCAAGTGTGGCCAAGTTGGGTGAGGTGGATGGCATGAGTTGGGAAAGTGACAAATGTCAAAGTTGGGGTGCCTATAGAGAGGGGAATTGTGTGGTATGGGGTGTCCTTGGTTGGGGACTCCCTTGGGACCTTCCCTCTCGTCCTCCTCATCCCCTCCTACCTGGTTCTATTGCTACTCTAACTTTCTTGTGTGAACTTGTGAGATTATTGTTATTGAGTTACGTTTTCTATGGCAGCATACCCCCTAGTGCGCCGAAGTTCATAACTCAGGTTATACTCCATATTTTGATACTATTCAAATTGGGAAAGATAGCCACGGTGAAGGGCTACAACATACTCGAGTTTGAGAGAATTCTAATCGTGCGTTAATCGTCGACGACGTTTCTTGTGACGACGACTTTTCTGTCCTGAATTATAGTTGACGATTTTAAGATATTTCGGCCCTTAATCTTCATAGACTCCGTCCTTAGTCTCTAACAAGTGGTATCAGAGCTGATTAAGGACTTTTTGGAGAGTCTACTGAAGTGTGAAGACCCTCCTAGACCCACCATGGCTTGTGGGCGTGCCTAAGTGGAGTTCTGGAGGTTGCATGTGACTTCCGCTAAGGGGAAACTCTGCCGAAATTTCGTTGGCGCCGACACTTGTGGAAATTGAGTGGGACTTCGGTGTGGACAGCAAGGGGGGAGCTAGAACCTGTGCTTGGGAGCAGAGGAAATGAGTCAAGGGAGTGGAGATGCAGCTGAGAAGAGAAATGAGCCGCCACCATCCAAGATCGAGGCATTGGATGGCTCCAACTATGAGGAATGGAGCGGGCGGATGCGGAGTGCATTTAAGCGCTACAAGCTGCTGAAACTTGCAATGGGAGAAGAGAAGATGCCGGAGGAAGGCGACGCCCGCGATCGGTGGATTGAGAAAAGCGCGGTGCTGTACGACCTAATCCTTCAATCGGTCAACAACGACATGTTCCAACGCATCAAGGATTTGGTGGAGTTGGATGATTCCGGACCAAAGGCGTGGAAGCTACTGCGCGACATGATTCAGCCCAACACGTTGCCGATGGTGATTGTGTTGGAGAAGGAGCTGGCTGCCCTCTCCATGCGACCGGGTGATGATGTGAAGCCGGTCCTTGACAAGATCAAGGACACCTATGCAAGGATGGCAGCGGCGGGCAGCAATGTGTCACAAATGCAGCAGTGCACCAAGATTATCTCGGTGCTCGACAACTCATGGGACAACCTCATCCCCACCCTCAACACTCAGCAGGACCAGTGGACACCTGAGTGGCTGCGGCAGCAGATTCTGCAGGAGGACTTCCGCAGGCGCCACACGGGTGGTGGTGCTGCCAACAAAACTGCTGAGGGGTATGGAGCTGCAGGAGGCAGCAGAGGAAGAGGGGGAGGGAGAGGCCGAGGCCGTGGGAGAGGCTTTGGTAGAGGGAGAGGCCGAGGTGACTACAATGAGGGGCATGGGAGCTCTGGTGGCAGGGGGAGCACCCGAATGGAGGGTGCGTGCTGGTACTGCAATAAGGCTGGACACCCTTGGTTCAAATGTTTCAGCCGGCCTGAGGGATGGGCGCCCCCAGGCATGAAGCCGCCAAGTGGTGAACGTGCACGAGGTGGCGCTGTGCAAGGTTCAGGTGCACAAGGTGATGGTGCACAAGGTAAAGCCAACCCTGGGATGTTCCTCATGGTTGAGGATGTGAAAGGGAGTGAGGGTGATGTGGGCTCAGTTGGAAAGGTTGTGATGCACCCCCTCACTCATTGGGTGATAGATTCAGGTTGCACAAGTCACATGACCCCACGGGCAGATTTGCTTGACGAGGTAAAGCCCCCTGGGAAGATCAAGTTTGTGGCTGCCGCTTCAGGTGCTTTGCTCCCTGTGATTGGTGTTGGGAATGCTAAGGTAATGGGAGCCAATGGGGGCCTTGTGGGGCTGGGGAATGTACTGCTGGTTGAAGGTTTGTCCACTAACCTCCTCTCTGTGCGCCGGCTGCAGAAAAGCAAGGCCAAAGTGACCTTCGGCCCAACCAGCTGCCGTGCAAAGCTTGGGAAATTGCTGCTGTGGGATTTGGAGGAGAAGAGCAGCTGCATCAAGGACCTATGGCAGCTGCCCATCATCCCTTGGAATGGGAAACCACCAGCAACGGCAGCGGCAGCAGCAACGGCAAAGGCAACTGCAGGAGGAGAGGAGATTGCACCAACTGATGGGGCCCTGGATGCAGTCAAGAAGGTGCAGCAGCCACAGCAGCCACATGGTGAGGTGCTTGCTGGTGTGGATGCGACAGCTGCATGGGCAAAGGCTTCATCTAGGAGTGGTGAGGCTGATTGGGAAACGTGGCACGAAAGGCTGTGTCATGTGAATTTTCCTATGCTGCAGAAGTTGGTGAAGGATGGGAGCTTGAAGGGGTTGGAGGTGAAAGGGGCAGTGAAGGAGATTGGGAGCTGCCCTACATGCCTTGAGACCAAGTTCACAAAGTTTCCCTTCAGCAGCGGCACGGGACCAGCCAAGGCCCTGCTCGCGCTTGTGCACATGGATGTGGTGGGCCCTACTAGGGCCCCTTCTCTCTCGGGCAGCCGCTACTTCTTAACCATTGTGGACGACCACACGCGTGCCGTGTGGGTGTACCCTCTCAAGACTAAGGGGGAAGTGGCAGCGGCTGTTCTTAAGGAGTGGATGCCGAGAGCTCAAAGGGAGAGCGGACACAAGGTGAAGGTGATCCGCACCGACAATGGGGGAGAATTCATTGGCGCTGATTTTGAGGCGGTGCTGAAGAAGAGGGGGATCCAGCATCAGCTCACGGTTCCCTACAACCCTCAGCAAAACGGCGTGGCTGAGCAGTTCAACCGAACCCTGCAAGAAGGTGCTCGCACTCTCCTTGGGCGTGCAGGGCTGCCGGATCCGTTTTGGGTGACTGCACTGCGGCAGGTCGCCCTTGTGAAGAACAGGGTGTTGGCGAGTGTGGGGGACAAGCAGTCCCCTACACCAAGTGGTATGGGAGTGCACCAGCAGTCAACATGCTGAGAGCCTACGGCTGCATGGTGGTGTTTCATGTGCCTAAGGAGAAGAGGGGAAAGTTGGAGGCTTCTTGGAGATGGGGAGTACACTTGGGGCTTGCTAAGGGTCATAAGGGCTGGTTGATATGGGACTTGACCAGCCAGCAGCTGACTGTGTCAAGGGATGTGAAGTTCCTTGAGTCCTTGTACTACAAGGAGTGGAAGCAGCAGCAGCAAAAGCTTCCTACTACACCGCTGATCATTGAGGCCGATGAGGTGCAGCGGCCTTCGAGGCAAGTGCAGGTCACTGTCTCAGAGGAGGAGATTTCTGGGGTGACTGAGGATGTGGGAGAACCTGAGGTGGAGGAGCAGCAGCAGCAGCAGCAACAGCAGCAACAGCAGCAAGATGCTCCACAAGGTGCCGCACGTCCGGCTGACCGTCCTAGGAGGGATGTGCGCCCTCCTAACCGGCTGACCTATCCGAGCTTTGGCAAGCCAAAGGTGGTACGGGCTGGGAGTGTGGCTGAGAAGTGTGATGAGGAAGAGATAGCACACTGCTACTGGGCAGCCGTCCCTGAGCCCAAGACGCTAGCTGAGGCCTTGAGTGGGCCCGATGCTGAGAAGTGGAAGCAGAGTGTGAAGGAGGAGTATGACTCTCTGCTGGAGAATGAAACGTGGGAGCTGTGTGAGCTGCCTCCTGGGAAGAAGGCCATTTCTTCCAAGCTGATCTTCAGGCACAAGTACGGACCTGATGGGGAGCTGACCCGCTACAAGTCAAGGCTTGTGGCAAAGGGGTTTCAGCAGACAAAGGGGAAGGACTTTGACGAGATCTTTGCTCCTGTGGGGAAAGGGACTACACTAAGGGTGATGTTGGGAATGGCTGCAAACCGTGGATGGAGGATCAAGCAGATGGACATCACAACTGCTTTCCTCAATGGGATCATCCTAGAGGAGCTGTACATGCTGCAGCCTGAGGGGTTGGATGATGGGAGCGGCAGGGTGTGCAGGCTCAAGAAGGCCATCTATGGCCTTAAGCAGGCTCCTCGCGCATGGTACCACAAGTTGGAGGAGACACTGCTGGCTGGGGGTTTCAAGAAGAGTGAGTGTGATCACAGCTTGTTCCTGCTGCAAGAGAAGGAGCAGTTTCTCATGCTCCTGGTGTATGTGGATGACATCCTGCTCTTCTCTAAGTCGTCTGCAATGATTGAGCGTGTGGAGGAGATGCTGGAGATGCAGTTTAAGTGCTCCAAGATGGGAGATGTGAAGTACTATTTGGGCATGCATGTGGAGAGGGACCTTGACAAGGGAGTGTTGAGGTTGCACCAGAGAAAGTATTGTGAGGCGCTGGCTGAGAAGTATGGGCTGCAAGATGGAGGAAAGCCAGCCACCCCACTGCCTTCGGGGTTCACTGTGGAGCCCTGTGCTGATGAGGAGGTGGTGGGTGAGAGTGACAGGAAGCTGTTTCATTCCATGGTGGGGGCACTCAATTATGCGGCTAACCACACGCGGCCTGACATTGCCTTTGCTACATCCAG